TATATATATATATATTAACAAGCCATTAAAGCCTCCAATTTTAAAATTTTACACATTACAAACACTAAAATTGAAATATAAATAATGAAATATAATTTTAAATGTTTTTTTATTGATATGACTCGTGACGGGCCTTGAACGGGCTCTCTTGTAAGTGGATCTTTGGCTTCATTTAGATGATGTGCTACATTAATTGGTATATGTTTAACTCATTTAAAATATTTATATTTTCTTTATTTAATTTATGAATAATATAATCATAGATAAATCTTATTGGTGGTATGCATCTACAGGTAGGCAATCTTGGATTCCTTTCCCAACAAAAAAAAAAAAAAGTTGAAAAAAAAATAGAAGTGGACGAAATATGACCTAAAATACAAACTTATAGAAATGAAGAAAACAACAAAACATGACATAAATAAAGCTCATTACATGAAAATACATTGTTTACAACAACAAAGCATGATTACATTGCTAAACATGAGAAATGAAGCTTAGCACATTAAAAGTTATTTGAAATTTATAGTTCTAAAGGTGTTAACATTTATAGACAAATTATGGTATAGATGATGGTATTATGTTGGCATAGATAGTAATATTGAATTTTCTCTAATAAATGAGCCATATATTCTGCTCCATTAAAGTGAAACAATACATTATAATGTTATACATCTTATTAGTTTAAAATTTTATGTTCTACAAATTTTATCCTAACTTAGAAAAATAGTTTTTATAGCAGTGACAGATGAATATATTATATTTTTTTTCACAAATGATGCATCTTCTACTCCCTGATATGATAAACAATAAATTATGATGTTATGCAATTTTATTGTTTGAAATTGTGTTTTAGAAGTTTTAGAATGTTTGAAAAAAATAGTTATATAAATGAAAATAGTGTAATTTTTCTCACAAATGAATCATATTTTCTACTAAGATGTGAAAAACAAGAGATTATCATATTATACACATTATTAGCTTGAAAATTTTTACTAAAAAATTTTACCATGTTTTAGAAAAAAGGTGGTATAATGGTGATATAATGGGTATAGTTTTTTTTCTCACAAATAAACCATATATTTTGCTTCTCTGATGTGTGGAACAATAGATTATGAAGTTATGCGCTTTAAAATTTCAACTATAAAAGTTTGACCATGTTTTAAAAAAATTGTAGTACAATGGTGATATGGTAATTATATAGATGAATATATTATGTTTTTTTTCTCACAAATAAATCATATCTTATACTTCAATAATGTGAGACAAAAGAGTATGGTGTTATGCACAATATATAGTCGACCACTCAAATATTAAATAGTAGTGATGACAGACATCAGTGATAGTTTTGAGGTGCATTGAATGTTGACAGATAGATATTTAGAATTCTCTCTCTCTCTCTCTCTCTCTCTCTCATCTTTTTCTTGGCACGAACAGAGGAATGCCAATACAAAATGCATTATTTTTTGTAGCCTACAGATTTTGAAGTCAAATATGCTGCTACATTATCAATCAACAATGAAAGACAAGGATCCAACTAGTGAAAGGAAACCCTGCCTAAAAAGTACTGCTCTGTATAAACATATAATTCACCTTTCTATCTGACTAGGAGTTTTCAAAACTCTAGATGTAATAACAAAATGATCATCTTTCATCATGGCCTAATCCATACAATTTACGATTGAAAATCAATTTTCTTTTGTTTACAGGTTTATGAGTGCAGTTTGAGGTAATAAACCCATATAATGGCAGCAAATATCAAGATAAAATGATCTCTTAGACTGCATATGCAAATGGTAATTACGAGAAACTTTTATCACACTTTAAATGAAGATAAGAGCAAATACAAATAACGGAAAAAGGTACATATAGAGATTTTTTATTACAATAGTAAGCAGTTTACTAAGTTTCAGATATATAGGGTATGAAAATTCGTTTATGATTCGAACTCATAAATACAATATAAAAATTGCTTAAGCCTTTACCGAGAATAATTAAATTAAATGAAAAAATGTAACTAAAACTTAATCTGACCATGCTTCGTAGTCGTAGAGGGATCATCCTCTTCTAGATATCCAACTACCTTCGCTGGATTTCCTTCAACCATACTTAAAATAAGGAAAAAAAAAAAGGAAATTAATGAACACTACATAAAAAGAGATCATGCAAAGATTATAATTCCCTAAAATATTACGAAATCAAAATTAGAAAAACATGTAGATAATAAGTTGGTTGCACAGACTTAAAACCATCACTTGCATATGCTGATGGTCAAATTAGAAATGTATGTGTAAGCTGAGAATTCTGGTTGGGATAACATTCCAATGGATGTTGATAACCAAATATAAATGCAGCTTAGCGTAGTTTTTGGAACATGATAGAAGGCAAAATAGAGCACAAGGAAACTATACATTTTACAAAAGGAACTTGAAGCTGTTATTGCAGATAGAAGGGGAGGACCTGAAACAATTTAAACCTTTTATTGAAACAAGCTTAAAAGTGAAGAAGCTTCTGTCTTGCATGAGCTTAGTCTCTCCAAAAACAAAACAAGAAAGCTTGAATCCAAGAAATTAACTAATGAAAATTTTGGAGCAGCATAGAACATATTTATCCAAAGAATGCTGCAAAGTTTCCGTTTTGTAAGATTTTCATGGATATACCGTACTAAATAATGACCAGAATTCTGCATGGATAACAGAGTTCCATCTTTTTCCCCTCACCCATAAACGTTGCTTGAATAGGGAATTCAATGTTGTTGCACTTTTATTGCATGAAATCGCCCTTTCTTGAAATAGAGAACATTCTCATCCTAGTAAAAAAGCTTTATATATGAAAACGCACACACATGACTGAACTTGCACATGAATGATTTTGGGTTAACCATGATATTTATGCCATCCAAAAATAATGGCTGCAACTAAATTGAGGACGCTCAAACTCGATTTGATTATTTGTAGAAATATTCATGCTCAGTTCGTTTAAAATTACGGTTGTATTTGTAGAAATAATCAAGATTAGTTTGTTTAAATCTATGGTTGTTCAAGCTCATTCTTCAAAATTTTCAAGGATATAATCAAAAGATAAGACGATATGACACATGAGGCTTTATGTTTAATCTTATCCAACAACAACAAAAACAATAACAAGAAGCCTTTATTCCACTAAGTGGGATCGACTATATGAATTGTTTTTCTCCAATGCATCCTATTGAGTGTCATGTTTTCATTTAATTATAATTCTAACAGATTGAGATCATTTTTCATACAATAAGCCTTTTAGGTCTACCTCAGTATTTCTTAACATAAGTCGAATCTACAAAATTTATTCTCCTAACTGGATCATCAGATGGTCGACGTTTAATGTGACCAAATCATCTAAAACGGCTCTCTCTAATCTTGCACGTCAATGGAGCTACACTCTCACAGATATATTCATTTCACATTTTGTCTCTAAGTGTCAAGACACTCATCCACCTAAGCATTCTGATCTAAGCAACACTTAACTTTGTTTTATGTTTCTCGTTTAAAGGTGAACTTTTTGAGCCATAAATCATTGAAAACCAAATCATCTAAAACGACTCTCTCTAATCTTGCACGTCAATGGAGCTACACTCTCACAGATATATTCATTTCACATTTTGTCTCTAAGTGTCAAGACACTCATCCACCTAAGCATTCTGATCTAAGCAACACTTAACTTTGTTTTATGTTTCTCGTTTAAAGGTGAACTTTTTGAGCCATAAATCATTGAAAACCAAATCATCTAAAACGACTCTCTCTAATCTTGCACGTCAATGGAGCTACACTCTCACAGATATATTCATTTCACATTTTGTCTCTAAGTGTCAAGACACTCATCCACCTAAGCATTCTGATCTAAGCAACACTTAACTTTGTTTTATGTTTCTCGTTTAAAGGTGAACTTTTTGAGCCATAAATCATTGAAAGCTCACCACCATCTTATAAAATTTTCCTTTCAAGTCTACGCGGTACTTTTCTATCACACCAGGCACAATGCATTTCTGCACTTCTATAGCAGTTCCATTTCAGTTATGAAGCTAGAGGGAAGGAAACGAAGGGAGGCGAGAGGAATCGAAGAGCTGAGTAGAAGGGAGATGAAGTGAGTTTGGAAGTTGAAACGAAGTCTCAGGAAACTGAATGGAGGAGAAATAAGAAGGTCAGAAGCCAAGACGTTACTTTCGCTCTACAAAAGGACTGACTTGTGGGAGGGACATGTGAGATCAATTTACGTGAGAGTCAAACATCGCATGAGACATCACAATTTCATGCGGGAGGGAACATCGTCGAGCAGAGGAGAAGCAGGAGGTCAAGGCATTGGTGTCGAGCAACGGCAAGGCCGACGTTGATGTCGTGCGACCATCGACGAAAAGAGGGAGAACAGTGCAGAAAAATCACGCAAAAGGAGATTCGCGAGGGTTGGGGCAGAGGTGGCGTCTTATGTTGAAGAGGAAGTATCCACAAGATTGTTTGATCTTGTATACAGAGAGACGCTCGCGTGAAGGAAGAAGACCAAGCTGACTTCGGGAGGGAAGAAGCTCAGTGAAAGCCGACGGGCTAAGAAAAGCTATTGTGTGGGAACAAAGGATAAAGGTAAGTTTAGTAATAAGTAAACTTAAGTGTATTTGATCAAACGCTAAGAAAATGTCAGGATTTTAAATCTAATCATATCTTTATAAAATAAATATTATTTAATATAAATTTGATTACAATAATTAAACTTAAATTTTAAACTATTGAAAATCTAATTAAATTAGTGTGATAAAATAAATCTCAAAAGTAAATTAAAACATAATTAAGTAAAGTGATAATTGAATATTTTATATTTTATAAATGATAAATTGATAGAAGTAATACAAGTTAAAAATAAATAAGCCAGTGGTCAGGGCAAAGACGCACCTTAAGAGAATAATTAAATTCCATGGAAGGGACTTCAAAAAATTCAAATAGTCAATCATATCCAGGCAATCAGCTTCCAGAGGTATACATTTCAACTTCATCATAAAAGCAATCTTAACAACAATCCAAACCACCCATAACTCAGCTTCAAGAGGGGAATTCGCATAAACAGGAGAGTAAAAGAAACAAATACATTTGCCATTAGCATCCCTGAATACTCCTCCAGCGCCAGCACCCTTAAAAATTCAGCTCCCATCAGTATTAACTTTCATCTATGACCTACAAGGTGTTCTTTACAAAAACTATTGAATGTGAATTGATTCCAAACAAGCCCGAAGTGGTTGGCCCCTATAAATAGGCTTAAACTTTTGGGTGAAAAATGATTTGTGACTATATCTAGCCTAACTTTTGATTTCTGTCAAATTTATTCTCTAAAAGTGTAATAGCCCATTAAAAGAGAAAAAAAATAAATTGACTAATACATGTTTGATTTTACCGACATTAGTTAGTTTGCTATTGGCTTTGAAAAACAGAGCACAAGAGAGGGAGAGATAAAATAAAGTGAGAACTGATAATAGTAACGATAGGGTTTCACTTTAAATTTTATTTTGCCTAAAATTTTTTATTTTGCAATAATATAATATATGATATCTAGTGTGATTAATTTATTATGAAGTTTAATTGATGTCACATAATAATAATAACAATTGTTTTGATTTCTGTCAGATTTATTCTCTAAAAGTGTAATATCCCATTAAAAGAGAAAAAAATAAATTGACTAATACATGTTTGATTTTACCGACATTAGTCAGTTTGCTATTGACTTTGAAAAACAGAGCATAAGAGAGGGGGAGTGAAATAAAGTGAGAACTAACGATAGGGTTTCACTTTAAATTTTATTTTGCCAAAAAATTTTTATTTTGAAATAATATAATAAAAGATATCTAATGTGATTAATTTATTATGAAGTTTAATTGATGTCACATAATAATAATAACAATTGTTATGCCATATCCGAATTTTCATCATTTGCTTGAATCTCGGGGCGAGTTTTGAGCAAGAAAAATTCAAAATCAGATTAAAAATCATCTAGAGCTCCAACTTCAACAAACCTATAAACAAATTATTCGGTTCGATGTGACAGATCTAATGACACCAAAATTGCCCAATTCGAGTCAAATCAAGTCTGGATCAAGTTATGAAGCCATTTTTTGAAGTTTTTTATGTCTATTTGGATGGTAAAAAAAATTTCAAATCAGACAATCTTAAAGTCAAATCAAGCATCTCGACGAGGCGAATCTAACAAGTTCAAGATCATTCAATTCTAATATAGTTATGACACTCAAATATGTAAAGAACACCGTCTGATTAAGAGAATCTCTCTAGGTTCTCTGATGGAATGATTCAGATTCCTTCTTTATTGTTGGGAGGCTTCTCTCATACTTTATAAATAGCCTTACCCCCTGCATGAAGAGGGACTAAGACTTAAGCTTGGAGCAGGATGGTGAGGAACTAAAGTTCAACATTCTACAATGAAGGTCCAGCAAATTCCCCCTACTCTTGCAGCCACCGACCACCGTTGACCGCTGCTCGCAGACCCTCGTTGAGCATCTTCGGTCGCATGGACCTCTGTCGGCACCCCAAGGGAATCACAACATACACTGCGGAATCACGATGTACGTTGCGGAGTAATGAAACACCCGACGAAGCAACACATTATCTTGAATACTATGCAGCGATGCACCTCAACAGTGTACTAAAATTAAATAACTACTCTTAACTGTAATCACTCCCGACCATTAGGTAACGAACATTATACTTCGAGGAATTGTGTAGGCAAGGGAAATGACAGAAACACGTACTCATTAATTCATAGTGGATTGTTCTGACCCATAGTTTTTACCTTTATAGTTTTCTACCTAAAAATATTTGATGTCTCTACCAACTAATTTTATCATCTGAGTGTATGTTGGATAAGTACTATACTAAGATGATAAGTTATTACTCTACTATCTTGAAATCTTCAGCAAAAATCAGTTCGGTGTCACCCGTGGGAACTACAATCCCACCACTGAAGGACTTACAAAGCTTGTTGAATGGCCACTCGATGCAATACTCGCAACAATGAAGCATCTCGTTCCGACACCCACAATTCTAGGGGACAGTTACGAAATCAAGGACGTCAAGCCTCTGCCTCTTCCCACCCTGGAAGACGTTATCCTGCTGTTGAAGGTGCCTTGGGTCTCACTTTGAAGGATCAAGTGTCTAGGATGGAGTCACAGAATGAGATCCATCAACTCTAACATGAGGCTCGAAAGTCGATGCATGCACAACCAGCTCAAAAATCGATGAAAAATGCCTCGTTCAAGCATATTCATACCAGGCTCCTTTCCCCCGATGCAACCTTTCCTCTGGCAAGTGAAGATGTCGACCTCCTCGATACGCTAGATCAACTGGTAACCCTTCGATGCTCATGGGAGATATGGTCCAACCAAACCTTGTTGATGCTCTTGATAGCTTGTTCCAGAATGAGTTCAATGTCTGGATCGAGAAGAGTTCCCTCTGGGGTATAGGGATCGATGCCCCGCTCGTCTCAACTTTCACGAGTCTTAACACTTGCCTGAGGTGTTCCTCTAGCACCTCATCTCAACAGGCTTCTAAATTCCAAATATTGATTCCTCCAAGGGCTAACTAACCCTTATGAGCACTAACCCGACCCGCAATTACGCAATTATTATAGTTCAGAAATATGGTCGAAAGCTCAACCCAATTTATATTTAACGGCTAGTGTGCAAAATTAAATATTATATTAAGTCGATAAAGCGATTTACACACTAAGGGTACTAAGCAAGTATATGTATCGTTTCAAATAATATAGGGTTCTAATGAAGTCCTAAGTATCGATCCCATAGGGATAGACAAAACTAAATTGTAGTTAACTTATATAGGAAATGATAAAAAGTTTATATAGGTGAGTGAGATATTTTGATAAACTTTTAATGAAAATATTAAAAATATGATTGATTTTAGTGATCTTAATATAGATAATAATAATAATAGTTTTATTTTAATGTATTATTAGTAAAATGGAAGTTGGGGAAACTTTAAAAAAATGAAGGGTGGAAAATCAATAGGATTTGATAATATCTCAATTGAAATGGGGAAATATTTAGGAGATTTAGAAATTTCTCAGCTTATTAAACTTTTTAACACTTTTAAAAACTAAAAAGACGTTGAGGAGTGGAGAGAGTATATTACTCCTTATGTTTAAGAATATAGGGAATGCACAAGTGTGTGTAAAATTATAGAAGAATTAAGTTAATGTGTCATACATAAAAATTATGGGAGAGTAATTGAACATAGGTTAAGGCGTGTGCAAATGTTTCTTAAAATCAGTTTGGATTTATGTCGAGCAAGTCTACAATAGAAGCTACACATTTATTGAGATGTTTGATGGAGGATTACAAAGAGCGTAATAAGGATCTAGATATGATTTTTATTATTTTTAGAAAAAAAATATATGATAAGATACCAAGAGAAATACTTTAGAGAGTCTTAAAATAAAGATGTTGATATGACTTATATTCAAGTCATTAAAGATATGTACACTAGAATTGCTACTTATGTTCAAACAGGAGGATTGACCAAGTATTTTCTTATTTCAATTAGTTTACAACAAGGATCAATTTTAAGCTCATCTTTTTTTTGTGGCTTTAGTATTGGGTGTTCTTACTAGACATTATAGAAGGATGTACGTTGTATGCTTTTTACTGATGATATCCTTCTGGTGAATAAGACTAGAGATAGAGTTCAAGAAAAACTTGAATTATAGAGGTCAACTTTAGGGTTTAATGACATTAAATTGAATAAATCTAAATTTGAATACATGGAATGTAATATTAGTAGTAGTAGATCCAGTGGCTTAGTTGTAACAATGAATGATCAAATCATTAAAAGGAATGAAAGTTTTAGATATCTCGGGTCTATGTTATTAGTAGAATTTAAGCTGGATGGTTCAAACGAAGGAATGCATCAGGCCTTGTGTGTGATAGAAAAGTGTCACTTAGATTAAAAAGAAAATTTAATAAGATGATTGTGAAACCTGCAATGCTTTATGGTGCAAAATGTTGGCCTATAAAAGAGAAGCATAAAACTAAGTTATGCTTTGCTAAGATGAGAATGCTTACGTGGATGAGTGCCTGCACTTAGAGACAATGCGAAATGAATATATTCATGAAAGGGAGTGGCAGAAAAAATCAAAGAAAGTCATCTTAAATGGTTTGGTCACATTCAATGTCGGTCATCTGATGATCTTGTTCGGAGATTAGATGTTTTAAATTTAACTTTTGATAAAAAAGGTAGAGGTAGAGCTAAAAGGACTCAGCCAAGTTTTATAAAAATGATCTTAGCCTATTAGAATTAAATAAAAATATGACACTCAAAAGGACATATTAGAGAAAAAGAATTCATGAAGTCGACCCCACATAGTGGGAAGAGGCCTTGTTGTTGTTGTTATTGTTGTTGTACAATTATTACATATACTCAGATACCAATGCTCGTAAACTAAAAAAGAATATTGATATTGATATGTCTTAATTAGTAAAATTTAGACGGGGCTTCCATGATGGATGTATTTAAAAAAATATAATAATAAAATATTGCATTGTATAATAGACTAGTTTGAAATATCTTCAATGATCATTTGTAACTATGTAAGCTATCAAACAATCTACATTGAGTTATGATATTTGACTAGCATGTTGTCTTTTTATTTCACTATATTACTACAATTTTAGGAATATTAGTATTCACTAGGATTTTGATATCTCACCATATGTTAAACTTAAAGTTTCAAAATTTCAATATAGAAAAATAAGTAGAAGATAAACCGTGTATAAAAGACATGACCAACATGAAAAAGATAAATTTATTTTGAATTGTTTTATTTTTTTAGTTAATTTAAATTGCATTTATTAGTGGCAATTTCAATTATTTATATGATTACTTTTATTAATTAACGATAGAAATTGAATTTCATTGTCTGATCATTTTCTTATGCCGTCATAATTCCAAGCCCTCGAACTAAGTCGTGAGAAAATGTGAACCAAATCCTCATAGTTTTAACCTAAGCACAAGCTTTTAAAGGGAAGAGTTTTCTTACATGATAGCCATTAAAATGGCCTTGGACTGCACTAAACGTAGCACAACTTGCCCAAAATGCTTGGGCCATTAGCAATACCATGAAAATTGCAACTACAAGTACAAAAGAAAAGTTTTAAATTTATTGTATAATTTTTATTGGAGAATATCTAAGGTGGTAAATTAAGACAAACTATAAAAAACCAGGTAATGCCAATTATTTTCAGCAAAAAATAATCCACCACGAGCTTAAGCTTCTGCAATATTCAATAACACATTAACCTATATGAGAAACAGAGAAATATTCAAGTGTAGACAATTATAGAAACTTAACGTACGCAGGATTAGAAGTTAAAAATTTATCACATTTTTATTAACCTTAAAGAAAATAAAGAAGAAAATAAAGCACACAATAAGTGAGTAGTTTCTCGATCAAAGTAAGTAAAATAGTAGCTGACCTAAAAGGAGGCACATCCTTTAAAACAAGTGAGCCGGCAGCAACCATTGCTCCTTCACCAACTGTTATATTTCCAAGGATTGTGGCCCCAGCCCCAATATGAGCGCCTTGCTCAACTTTAGGATGTCTATAGCCGGTCTGCTTACCTGTTCCTCCTAAAGTAACACCCTGTGACAAAATATCAGAAAAAAATACAATACAATCCCCTTCGTAAGAACAGCACCAACAATCATGCCACTTAATCTGAGTACTCCTGAAGGAAATTTCTTAAGGAAAAGAAAATTAAGGCAGAAGAAAAAAAAAACCATCATCTTTCTTATTAAACAAGCCAATCCACTGTAATAACTGAAAAACAAAATTAATATATTAATAAAGAAAGAAATTTTAATTTTTAGGTATGCTCGAAGGAAGCAACAGTCTCAGAAAAGGGGACCCAGCAAGAGTAAAGGTAAGGGTTTGTGTTTATTTATATGACTTAAATTAATATAATTAAGTATTAGTATTAATTTGAAATTTTATTGCTTATAATCGGAAAGCATAATAGGAAAGAATATCATAATGAAATTAAAGTGAACTCGCGACGGTGAAAATAGAGGTAAGGTTTATACTTATATTTTTATAAGTTGTTTTAATTAAAAGTCATTATGTGGATAATAAACTTCATGAGTGGAACCAGTGATTATAATTAAAAATATCTTAGGATTAAAAGGTGATTGGGGAAAAAATCAAGAATACTTCGTTATTTATTTCAGTCTGCTATTTTAGAATAAGATTCTTATATATATATATATATATGTACTTAATTGTTATAAGTAATAGTAAAGTAAAGTGAAGGAATAAGCTTTAAAGGAAATCTCCTAAGGCTAAGGTGAGTAATTATTGTTTTATTTGTATAGAATTCAATTTTTTATTTATTTCAAGATGTTTTCATAAGATCTCTTATAATCAAAAGAAGATAAGAGAAATGTAATGATTGTTCTATCAATTTTTTTTATCTTTTGTATTGAACAACAACAACGACAAAGCCTTAATCCCACTACGTGGGGTCGGCAATATGAATCCTTTTTCTCCATTGCGTCCTATTTAGTGTCATATTTTCATTTAGTTCTAGTAAATTAAGATCATTTTTTATACCATAAGCCAAAGTCTTCCTAGGTCTACCTCTGTCTTTCTTAACACAAGTCGAATCTAAAAGATCTACTCTCCTAATCGGTCATCAGATGGTCGGCGTTTAATGTGACCAAACCATCTAAGACGACGTTCTCTAATTTTGTGTCACAGGAGCTACACCAACCCTATCACGGATATATTCATTTCGCATTTTGTCTCTAAGGGTCCGTTTGGGGCAGCTTGTGTGTTTCAGGATAAGCCGCTTATTCTGAAACGCAGTCCGCGGGCCAGCCGCAGGGGTCAACCCGCGGCCCACGTTTAGTGTAAAAACCCAAACGCTGTTTTGGATAAGCTGGCGAAACGCGCGAACCAAACGGTACGACGGCCTTTTGAAAACGCCGCCCGTACTTATAAGCTGCCCCAAACGGACCCTAAGTGTAAAGCCACTCATCCACCTAATCGTTCTCATCTCGACAACACTTAACTTATTATTATGCTTCTCTTTTAAAGGCCAACATTCACGTCATAAAGCATTGCAGGTCTCACCACCGTTTTATAAAATTTTCCTTTCAGTCTAAGCGGTACTTTTCTATCACACAAAAAACCCGAAGCATTCCTCCACTTCAACCAACCAACTTGAGTTCTACTATTAACATCCCAATCTATATCACCATCACTTTGAACAATGTACCCAAGATATCTAAATCGTTCACACCTTTTAATAATTTGATCGCCCAAAGTCACACTTCTGTCCCTAGAGCTACTACTACTAAAATTACATTTCATGTATTTAGTTTTAGTTCTACTTAAATGAAGGCCTTTAGACTCCAATGTAGACCTCCATATTTAAAGTTTTTCCTGGACTTTTTATCTTATTTTATCCACTCATCAGCAAAAAGCATACACCAAGGTACATCCTCTTGTAGATGTCCAGTAAGACCATCCATAACTAAAGCAAAAAAATATGGGCTTAAAGTTGATCCCTGATGTAATCCAACAGAAAGAGAATAATATTTGGTCAACCCTCCTTCAATTTAAACACAAGTAACAACTCTAGTATTCATATCTTTAATGACTTGAATATAAATCATATCAACACATTTTTTCTCAAGAACTCTCCACAGGATACCTCTTGGAACCTTATCGTAAGCTTTTCTAAATCAATAAAAATCAAATGCAGATTCTCCTTATTATCTCTGAACTTCTCCATCAAACCTCTCAATAAATGTATAGCATAAATCTAAATTGATTATGAGAAATCTTTGTAATCCGTCTTAACCTATATTCAATTACCCTCTCCCATAACTTTAAAGTATGACACATCAACTTAATTCCTCTATAATTTGCACACACTTGTGCATCCTCTTTATTCTTAAAAATGGGGAGCAAAATACTCTTCCTCCACTCCTCAGGCATCTTTTTAGTTTTTAAATTAATATTAAAGAGTTTAGTAAGCCAAGAAATTCCGAAATCACCTAAATATTTCTACACTTCAATTGGGATATCATCAAGTCGTACAGACTTTCCACCCTTGGTTTTCTTTAAAGCCTCACCAACTTCTTTTTTACTAATGCGACGATAAAAATGAAATGTTTTATTATTATTCACAATATTAATATCACTAAGGTCGATCATATTTTCAGAAACTTCATTAAAAAATTTATCAAAATAACTTACCAACCTATGTTGAATATCTTTTTCTAAGAAAAGTACATTTTGATTTTCATCTTTAATACACTTTACTTGAGTCAAATCTTTACTTTTCATTTATCTTTGTTTGGCTAGTTTGTACATATATTTTTCACCCTCCTTAATTTCTAATCTATTATAAAGATCAATAAAAAAATAATTTTAGCGACACAGATTGTTCTTTTAGATTCCCTGCGGGCCGTTTGATATTTTTCGCAGTTCTCTAAGCTTTTACATTTAAACCAATTTTATAACATAACTTCTTAAATTTTATCTTTTATTGCACATTATTATTTCACCACCAACTATTTTTATTTATAAATTTTTTTTTTCTTTTGATTCCCCAAGCACATTTTTTGTTATTTGTTTAATAATGCTTGTTACTTTATCCCACATAATATTTATTTCTTCATGAACATCGGGTAGTGAAACAGATCATGTGGAGAAGTTAGCGAAGTTATTTGTGAATAAGATTATCCTGTTGCATGGGTTACCAAGTCCATAATTTCAGATTGAGATGATAAGTTTACATCCAAATTATGGAAAAAATTCAAGAGGATTTGAATACAAAATTGGCTCTCAGCATAGCTTTTAACCCACAAACTGAGAGGACTATTCAAATTTTGGATGATCTACTCTATGTATATGTACTTGATTTAATGGAGGATGAGAGTGACATGTATCTCTAATAGAGTTTGCTTATAATAATAATTATCAGACAAGTATGGAATGACTCCATATGAATCTTTTCTATGGGAGAAAGTGCATGAAACCATTGTGTTGAGCTGAACAATTGAAAGGAAAATCATTGGTGCAGATTTAGTAGATGATGCCACTAAGAAAATTTTGTTGATCAAGGACAAATTAAAGGTTGTGCAAGAAAGACAAAAAAACTATTATACCGTCAAACACAAACGAGATGAGTTTAATGTTGGAGAGTTCATTTTTATAAAAGTCGGTCTTTCGAAAGGTGTGCAATGTTTTGGGAAGAAAAAAACTGAGTCCAAAATATTTTAGTCTTTATGAGACTACTAAGAGAATTGGAAATGTGACTTACTAATCAACTCTACCTGCTCACATACAGGGAGTACATAATATTTTTTATATTTCTTCACTTAGAAACTATATTGTTGATGAATCAAGTATAATTATTGCAAGTTCATTTGATATTCAACTTGATTTGACTTATATAGAGGAGTCTGAAAAGATACTGAATTGTGATGTTAAGAAACTTCATAATAAAGAGAATTTATTTATAAAGATTTTTTTAGGCATGGATCAAAAATAAAATGTTACTTGGGAGAATATTTCAAATATGTAAGAAAGATATCCAAAACTATTCAATAGTGATATATGTACTTTATAATTATTTTAAATTTCGATGACAATTTTTATAATTATTCAATTGTGATTTTATTGATTATAATAAAAAAAACATAAAATGAAAGAATATCATATTGAAATTGAGGTGAATTGATGATCATGAAAGTGGAGGTAAGGTTTATGTTTTTATTTATATAAGTTATTTTAATTAAATATCATTAAATGGATAATAAACCTTATGAGTGGAATTAATGAATTAGAATTAAGAAGGGTATATGATTCAGAAGGTGAACGGGAGAAATATAGTTAAATTAATTAGTTATTTGTTTCAGTAAGTTATTTTAGAATAAAATCTTATCTATACATGCACTTTTAACTGATACAAGTAAAAAGTCAAAGATATTATATTGGAGGAATAAAGTTTTAGAGAAGTTTTCTAATGGTTAAGATGATTAAGTACTGCTTTATTTGTATTAAATTTATTTTGTTTATTTCAAAATATTTCATAAACTCATATTAATCAAAAGAAGATCATTGAAAATGATATGGCTGCTTTATTATTTTAATTTTTTTATATTTTGCACTATATTAAATGAAAAAAATTATAGATTAAAAGTACAATAAAAGATAAATTGTTAAGTCTATTAGAAGTAATCCCTTATGGTACTAGTACGGAACATTAATGTAATTGTGCACATTAAAGAAAAATAAAATAAAAATGATTCTGCTTTCATAGGGACAAAATGAAGAAAAAAAATCTGAGGGGACTTCTAAAAGAAAAAAATAAAAGAATTATAGATTAAATGAATAGAAAATGGAAGAAGTAATTATGTAAATCCATGAAAATATAATTGATTAAGATGATTTCATAAAATATTTATAAAATAAAAAATACAAAGTTCACCTTAAAGATTGATCAGCATATTTATTTGAGCATCCATATTAGACATTTACATAAAGATTTAATGCAAAATAAAATAATAATTATTCACTAAATTCTTTAAATATACATCTTATTTGACTGTACTTTTAAAAAAACATGCTAGACCAATATGACTGATAAGAGAGAGTTTATTTATAATAATTATTCACTAAATTCTTTAGATATAGATCTTATTTAACTATACTTTTAAGAAAATATGCTAGACTAATATGACTGATAAGAAGAGAGGAACTGTTGATGATAAGTAGCAGATTGTTTGTCATATGTTTTGTCACTTTTTATTGTACTACTTGTTTTACTATATCACTAAATGATTGTGTTTAGTTAGGAGATTTTTAACTAAAGCGTTTTGGATTAATAATTTTCTTACAATTGAATATTACTGTGAACTAATGCTACAATTTAGAAATATGTTTTTTAACCATCCGTCTGTTCGTTCCCACCTAGGCTAACTTCAAATTCCCGGATTAAGTCGTGCAACCACCATATGGAAGGTAATATATGTTGCATTTGTTGTTGTCTTGTGAGGAAGCACATTTTTTTTTCATTCTTTTAGCCTACCTATCACCATGTGTACTAAGGGGCTCTCACTTGCCTAAAGTACTAATTAAAAGGACATTTATACTTTCCATCTGTCAATTTTTCACCATTCAAGCACCGTAAAGTTCAATTTAAAAATGTATTAGTATTACACTTAACATTTAGATTCAGTTCTCAATAGACCGTTAGTTTCCTGCTTAGCTAATCATTTGAAAAATTAAAATATGCCCATCATACAACTTGTTAACTTTATCCACAATAGCATCAAAGCCCGAAATAAAGAATTATCAAATATCGATAAACATGATCATAATAATGGAGGTGTGGTAAAGTCAATGCCAAAGAGCGGTGATAATAACACATACACCGTCAGCTTTTCCATGGTAAATGCACTTCCACACAATTTGAATACCTTAATCCAAAGTACACTTAGCTTAAAAATCTATGGTTGTGTAAACAAGCAGTCATCAGGAGTTTATGCCAAGGATGATTATAAAAGGTGCCAAATAGTTGGATAAGTCCAATGATGATGATGATGAATCCAAGCACTAAATCAAAGAATATTCCCTTTTGACAAAAGCATTTGTTCAGCCCAACTAATGTGGACGTTCGCATCATTGGGGTAGATGTGAGCAGTCCTGCCCAAGAATCAGCCAAGGCTGGTTCACTCCTCTGGTCGGATAAAGGAATTGCTATTCCCATGAGCTGGCCGGCCAACCATAGGATTATTAGCCACTTTATTTAGGTTATTATTTGGGTATCTTTGTTTCCTGCATATAAATAAATTGTTCAGAATCTGATTTGAGAACTTCTATTTTATGACAATTTAGAGATTGCTTTTTGTTTTTTATAATTATATTTTATTTTTGTTAGTGTTGTATACTCTTCCCCTCTGAAATGGTGTGTTTGTAATCTAATTGGGAATAGGTGGTGAATTCTCCCAGATGTCCAATAACCCTCTACACCTGTAACGACAGCGTCCTACATATTTTTTTCTGACAAATCAGCAGCAGTACCTACTATTACATAAAATTTGTAAAGGAATTTTCACAGATTGTATTATATTTATCCAGGCTGACAAAAAAGAATATTATATTTAATTGGACTAATAAATGTGAGCTAAATTTCTTAGAATTTTAGAGACATTGGATATATGCACCTGTATTAACAATTACATCAAGAACAGAAAGATTTCAAACATACATTGATGCTTCTTTCAACTGTTTGGGTTATGTTCAGATGCAGAACAAAAAGACGATTGCATATACTACTAAGCAATTAAGAGTCACATGATACGAACTATCCAATGCATAATTAGGAATTAGCTGCAATTGTCTTTGTTTAGAAAATTTAGAGGCATTATCTCTATGGAGTAAAAAGTGAAATATTCACTAATCATAAGAGTTGGAGTTACATCAAATGAAGATCCATAATTTGTACTCATTTATAGGGGAATTCAGTTAAATTGAGAAATAAAAAATACGGTCTCAAAGTAATGTTGAAGCGCAGAACAATGCAGTGCACTTGATATTTTGTAAGGAAATAAGTTAAAAAAATTAATTTAAAATTAAATTATTAAATACAAAAATTCTAAAATTATGCTCTAACAACCAAAGTAACATAAACATTAGCAGGATCAAACACATCAAGATAAGTAGGTCAACACTTAATTTCCGAGAAAATAAACGAACTAAAGCAACTGAATAATGTTCCAAATGGAAATATTATCACCAGAGTTTTACCCACGATGAGTTTTAATAATCTGATCAAAGTGTTGGGCATGTTCAACATATAAATCCTATGTTGAAGGGAGTGTTCAAATAATTCTAAATCTACGACCTGCACTTTTTCATCTACAATAGTCCAATAATCTATAAGCAACATTTTCATCTACAACAATTCAACAACCCATAGACAAAAGCCTTTTCATCTACAGTAATCCAGCAGTTTCTAGATAACAGCATTCCATTCATGATGTATGTGGAGTTAAATCTGGATTTTATAATAAAAGATTGATTTCTTTCCTAGATAACGATTTCTCCAATTCACATTCGTAAGACAATAAAATAAAATTCCTACTCTTCTCTCTTCTGATTTTAATTTTTCAAGAATGAGATATGTATCTATTCATTTTACCACCAAGTCACCTTACTAATGTATGATCTATTTTTAGACTCCACAAAAATTCATAGAACAACATTTTTTATCATATTAATCATCTTAAACAACATCAAGATTAGCTCAACTAAAGAACTTGTAATTACGGTTATATTCAGTGTTATTTATCCAATACAAAGAAAAGGAAAGAAATGGTTAAGCAGTACTTTGTTTTTCTTTTTGAATATACACTTGTCAAGTACTGCCTCCAAGAATAAAAAACATGCTAAGAAATCTTATAAAACTGTGAATCATAACAGGATGGTGCATGCTTGCCTGCATTAAACAAACTTTGTTTCCCACAATAGCAGTTTCACCAATAACTAAACCAATTGCATGATCCAAAAGAGCTCCCTCTCCAATTTTTGCAGCTGTTTAATAATAAAAAACTATGAAGATTCCCCGACATACACTAGAAAGAAAGTTTCAGGTATGAAAATCATAAAAAAATTGAAAGAGATCCAAGAGTTCCTTCAAAATTACCAATGATTTAAAAATCAGATTGGAATAGCCAATTCAGCTAGTTTAATCATGAACTAGTTTTTTAACTGATTTGATCCATTAGTAAAACTGTTCTAGCACAAAACCGAGTAGAATCGACAGTCGGAGTGGTGAACTAGTAAATCAGTAATAATTTCTTAAAACGGTCAATTATTATTATTATCATTATTATCAAATTGGTGTTTTTTTTTTATCAAGTTTTTAAACCTTTTATTTAAATAAATTAATAAAGCTTAGGAGAAAGTAAAAAGCTGTTACTCTCTAATTTTCTTCCCAACACCACATCCACTCCCTTTGCCATCCTAATTATCTTATGTAAAAATTAAAAATAACAATAGAATTAGAATACATTTAAATTTAAAATTATAGATGAGAATATAGTGCATAAGTAATTCAAAGTCATTTCCCAAAAGTGAGTAAATGGAAGATGTAACGATACAAAATATTTCGATATGATATTATGAAAAGACCATACTGATTCCCATTCCCTAGTTAATTTTTTAGGGAGTAGATTTTGACTACAAACATTTCTTATCATCCCTAGGCTTATTAAAAGAGTCAACTTAAATTAAAATAAATTACATACGGTGAACTTATGTATATGTATGACTGAAGGTGTAGATACACGGAGGTCCCCGTGTACTTTTTTTTTTTTTGTATTTTTTTTTTTTGCGCTCATCTGGATTGTTGTCATATAGATAATTTATTTAGTTATTCATAATGTGAGGCAAGTTATCATGTATCATGAAGGTTGGATAATAAGAATTATATAAGTTATCATATATCATGCATATCTTTTATATCATTTATATATTTATCTCATGCATAACACATACTTATATCATGCATATAGTTCCTACATGTCTATCTTACATATAATGTTTATCTAAATATCATACATCTCATGCATATCTTTCATGCATGCACATCATTTCCTACAATGCTTATTATGCATATCTTTTCTATCTAACAATATGAAAAATTTGTTGCAATACAAATCAACTGAACAAAAGCATACATATAAATCAACATACATTCTGAAATAAAAAAAAATTACTGAAATTTAGAAATGTAATTACCCACCCCACTTGTCGGGCTAGGTTCTCGATTGTTAGTAATTTGTGGGAAGTTACGGTGACTTTTATATTGAGCTTAATAACCTAAAATTTACAAAGTCGTCCTATAACGATTCTCTACACGCTTATCTCTAACCAGCCACTTCAGGTAACCAACCTGAAATCTTAAGTCACTCAATAATTCATAATATATTAGTTTATTACGTGATTTAGCTTTAAAGATCATTTATTTGCCAAAGCATACCTTAAACGGCTTTCTCGGCGACCAATCCTTCTCCAAAGCAGTCAAATATTCTTCTCACTTTTTTTATCTTCTCAAACTCCTCTTTTCTTCATTGAATTTGTATCAGAATACCTTACGGGACTCGCTAACCATATTCGACACTTTCAGCACAAGATCAGAGCCTCCGACGGCTACCGGATAGGAAAACGACAAGAAAAATGAGGAAAAATTGAAGGAGCATTAATCAATGAAGTTCTAAATGAAAGATTTAGGTCCAACCAAGAAAATCCTCCGTATGAGAATTAATAGGGACAAGAGTGCAGGTACAATAAAGTTATCTCGGGCATAATATGTTGAGAAGGTTCTACATAGGTTCAATATGAGGTAATATTAGTTTGCACCCCCTTAAGCAATCACTTCAATTATCTAAGGAACTATCGCCTAAATCTAAAGCAGAGCAAAAATAGATGAAAAGAAATCGTTATTCTTCATCTACTAGAAGTTTAATGTATGAGATGATATGTACGAGACCAGGTATTGCACATGTAATGGGAGTGATCAGCAGGTATATAAATAATCCAAGAAAGAATTATTGGGAAGTGATGAAATGGATTCTCAAATACTTGAGAAGAACAATTAACAAGTCACCTTGTTTCAAACGTACAGAGATTAATCTACAAAAATATGTAGATTCAGACCTGATAGGGGATATTGACGATAGAAGCATAACATAGTATATCTTCACTTTAGGGAACATAGCAGTGAGTTGGGTTTCCAAACTATAGAAATTGTTGCACTTTCAATTACAGAAGTCGTATAAATTGCCAGCATGGAGATGATTAGACTGCAATCTGCAGAGCTTTATGGCAGACCTGGACAAGGAGCAGAGTATTGGAAAACTTCATAGTGATATTATGAGTGTTATTCATGTAGCTAAGAATATCACTTTTCATGCCAGAATGAAACACGTTCAGTTAAGGTATCACTTTATTCGTTCTCTTCTAGAACAAGAATATTTATTCTTGAAGAAGATACCTACAGCTCAGAATCCTACAAGTATGTTGACTAAGGTGGTTACTTTTGAAAAATTAAAGTTATGCTTGGCTTTAGTTGGAGCTCAAGTAGGTTGAGACCAGAGGGTTGAGCCACATTACAGTACATGAGTACGAAGATAGGAGAGGTGATTGCAATCAGTCTTCAAATAGAAGATAGTTATATAATGGAGTTTTATTTGGCAAGTAGAAGCATCCAAGGATTGGAAAACCTGTGTCGGTATTTGAAATCCTAGCGCCAAACCAAGGGCCCGAGAGCCCCGTCAATGTTTCCCAAAAAGAAATCTAATGCAAGCAAGCGGAAACCCGGAGCGAAGAGGCTCATTTCCAACATTCTGAAAACATTGCGTCAAAAAATTTGTCACGAGCGATCTAGTGCTAAAAAAAATGAATCCAAGACTCAAACGAGTGAAAAAGCAGCGCCCAAGGGCAACAGAGTGGTGTCCAAATCGCATCCTGCATCGGAGAGTCAAGAAACCCATCGCTCAAAAGTGGTGCACCGATGTTTCAACCGATTTTGCAGTTCAAAACTTTAAATTTCAGGTTTCTTCACTATGGGAAGGACAAGCGAACAACGCAAACCGGTGTCTGCAAGTTATGAGTGGATTTCTGCGAATCTCTTGTGCGATCAATAGAGAAGCATTTCTAAGTTTCGAGATTGTAGAGAGGACTTAAGTGTGTTGTAATATGTATATTTCTCTTCATTTCATAGTGATTTTTTTTTGTGCAATGTTGCTACGTGGTTTTTTCCAGTTCTCGGGTTTTTCCATGTTAAATATGTGTTCTATTTTCCAAGATTTCTTGTTTTGTGCACTTACATTCAATTATTTCCTTTAGATCTCTCAAATCAGTGTTTTTTAGCGATTTCAGAGAAGTGAATATCCCCCAACAGTAGAAAGTTTAGTTTATAAACTTTTAGAATTAATACTAGAAATTGTGGTAGGAATGATTATTATACCTAATTAATAAAAAATGACACTGTTCTCAAGCTCCTAAAAAATTTTTCGTAGGTATAGGAACGATAAATCACTAAAAATTTTGGGTTTATCAAGTTCTAATATTGGATGACACTGTTCTCAGGCTCCTAAAAGGTGTTTGAAAAGCAGGTTTGATAGAGTGTTAGTGATGGTAAGAGAATGACAATATGGGTGATTGACAACATTTGGATGGAGATAAACAACGTTCAACAGTTGACCCAGCTAAAAACTGTGGAACAGATGACGAAACAGTGTGGTACAGAGGTCAAGGAGAATCTTCACATATTCCTACATATGATACAGACAAACCACTTAAGGAAAATGATACAATGCTCCTTAGAGTGGAAAACAGATATATAATCTCAAAAAAAAAACAATTGCCACAAGTCTCTCAAAATAAAAAAAACTAACATATAAATAGTCTCCAAGTAGAAAGAAACTCCAAATAAAAATAAGAAAATATGAAGGAAATAAAAAAAAAATGGTGAAATCAGAAATTAGGAGCCCTAGATCACGGGAACCACAATTTCCAGTTCAAGAGTCTTGTGAGGATTGCAGGATCTAGTTATTTGTGATTTTGTGGGATCTTATGAAAGCGATAAAGCTCTCGTGCTACAAAATGCTTACTTTTTATTGTCATTTGGGGGAATCATATGAAGCATTGGAAAGGTAGCAAAGATTGGTGATCAAAAGGAAATTAGATAATGATGAAATATTCAAACTTTGTAGAAAGTTAGACGACTTGAAGTTTCGCATCCTTATGCCAATTTTCTCCTCTTATGCCTCTTAATCTATCAATGTAAAACATTAACTCAAGGAAAATGGCTTTTTTTTTTCTTTTTTTGTGAACATAGATTGAGCATGTTTGATCCATAATTTCTTGTAAGAAGGCAATAAATCTAAATATAAAAGCCTTTTATGTTGTTAGCTCATAATGTTAATTCAATGTAAATGCTATTCAATAAGATATATGTATGCTGGAGTTAGAAGTTATTGAGTTTCTCTTAGATTAGGTCAATCAAATTTTGCAAATCCCAAACAACAGAATACAATGGGTTAGGATGATATAAGGTTGAGTGGGCTTTCAAGGAAATCACAAGAGTTTACCCTGAGTGTTGAAATTTAGAATAATGCGGATTACAAAATTATTTTATTAATATGAACGGGGGTATAAATAATCCTTACAAGAATCCTATAATAAAAAAAATAAAAAATAACAAGAAAAGGAAAGATATATTACCAAATAGCTCCAATAATCAATTTATATTAATTATTTGGAGATAAAGGTAATAACATAAAATAAGAAAACCTAAAATAGAAAAGGAACTAGCTCCTAATCTAAGAAAACAAATATAAAATAAGTAATTAAATAACTCATTAATACAAGAAAATAATTTATTCTTCATAATTTCTCACAAGAATAAATTATTTCATAGTATAACTTCTAACACTCCCCCTCAAGTTGAAACATGGTTGAAAACTACGTTCAACTTGAATTTGAAAACATCAAACGATGTGCGAGGAAGATCCTGTAAAGTAGAA